TGCAGTGAACGGAGACACACCCACCAAAACACAGAGACATACAAAACCCAAAAACCCAAAATACATTGAACACAAGTCTAGGACCCTCACACAAAGTAAGAGATAGGTCAGCTTATTTTGTGCCTCCCTGTGTACTTTTGGTTACTTTAAGAAGCTAATAGTGAACGTCACACTTTGTGGAATGATACTTATAGTAATGAATGGTTGTTAAAATTTGTGTAATAAAACCTTCAAATTTAAATGTAGCCACTTTGTATGATGATGTTAAAGACTGTTATTTTTCACTATGCTCATCGTCGAAACTGCTGAGTCATCACTTCCTCCAGAACACTGAAAGGGTTTATCTGGTATTTGAGCCTGGGCTTCTTGCAAACTTCACAAGAATTATGCCACTAGACCAACCTGGACACAAACCTCCTTCTTGTCCATTTCTTTTTCTTCAGTTTCAAGCAGCGAGTCAACACATTCGATGATCTCCTGCACAGACTCTTTGCTTTTAACTTTGATATTTCTGTGGTAGTTGGTCTCCGTTTTAGCCAAAATGCGAAAGAGCAACTTGTTTGGCAAAAAACACCTTCATCTTCACTGCAACACCTTTCAAGGACGGTTTCTAGCACTGACTGATGCTTTCTTTTCCATTGAAGGTAGTTGTTCCACAATTGTAGCGCTGTTATCACTGGAGATCTTCTCAGTCTCCTGAGAAATGTGACTTTCCACCTCATCATAGCTTTTATTTATTATCAGTAAACGGGTCTGTAATTTCATCACCCTCCTTCCTTATCATGTTCTAGACAACTGTAGATGTAGTTGCCATCAAGCTGTCACTTGAACTTAAGGAACTTTTGACTGATTCTTGTCATTTTTTTGGATTTCACAGGAGACAGTGGGATTTTATCAGCCTCCACTATGTCGGCCTTCTGTGGTTTTTTGTGGGATGGAATTTTCCCTTAAAAGCTTTGAGCATTTTACAGGCACAGTTTACCATCTTGTTCAGCTGTTTAGGTGGAGTTGAATTCTGATTTACTGGACTCACCACCTTTGCCTCACTGGAAGAGGAAGACTTTAAACTCTGCATCACCTCTTTAACAACAAGATCAGTCAGCTGCTCTGAGCTGTCACTGGCAACTTCACTGGCAACATCAAAAACCTCTGTGAAACTCTGAGGAAGTGCATCAGCTACAGTGGCTAAAACACTTCCTCTGATGTTTCACTGTCAGTGACTTCAAGACACTTTAACATTGTTGTTGTGCACACTTGAACGATTTCTAATAGCCTAGTCTAAATGCTTAACACTGTTTTCACCATATCTTACAACATGAAATATTTTTAGGACCCGACTTTTTTCCCTGCCAAATTATACTGATTTTTTCTTGATGAAATACCTTACTATCGTGTTTTTTTCACCTTACATTGCACTATTTTCACCATATCCAACATAATGACATGTTTTGACAACATCCTATACGTGACCTTATGTTGGACGTTTTTTTTATGCCAAAATCGATGATGATTTTTTATTTTTTATTTTTTGCTGAATAGTTTGCGAGAGTGTTTTATTATCATTATTTATTATTTTTTATTTATTTATTTTTTTAATTTTTACAAAATGCATTAAACTATTTTCACAATATCTTACAACATGACATTTTTAGAACATTACTTTTTTCCCGCCAATTATACTATGATTTTTTTCTTCCTGCTATACCTTAGTGTAACCTTTTTTCCCCTTACATTACGCTATTTTCATCGTATTATTCATCATTACGTCGAAAAAAAACCCAATAGTATACTATGAGGTTTTTTCACGCCAAAATCGATGATTTTTTTTCTTTTTCTCTTTTGGCTAATTTGCTGTGGTGTTGTCTTAATAACATGCCTAATTAACACTATTTTCGAAAACGACACAATATCTGACCGTTTTTTGTCATTTACTGATGTAAATCGAAACCTATTATTATTATTATTATTATTATTATTATTATTATTATTATTATTATGCTGCCTCATACCAATTGGTGGCGATGACGGAACAATTATTGTCTTTTGCCAACCGCCTTAAAACCTTTAGACGAAGAAGACGGATTCTTTACTGTGATTGGACGAAGTACCACGTGGTCAAAATCGTATTACCCGGAAGAATGACAAATGTTTATTGCTAACGTTTAAGTCGAGGTAAGTCAAGAGAATTTGTTTTTCTATCTTAGAATTTGTGACATTTTTTGTATTATTTTTCATCGTCTTTTATTGTATTTGTACCAGAGGAAAAACTTTATCTGTAACTCTAAATTCTAGCGACCTCAGTCACTAACCTCAACATGAAGTCGGTCCTGGAGGTTAAATTTAAGTCTTCAGTAGCACATAATATGTACATTTCAGTCTAGAATTATTCATGCCCACGCCACTTTGGGTTCTAGTGAATTTTAATTTGACCAATCTGGCTAAAAATGACATGAACAAGTGACAAAGGACAGTAAGACTATCTGTAAGAGATGTTATTGATCATTTTTTAGCTATTTTTACATAGTTTTTCCCCCTTTATACACAAAACACCATGTCCAAAATTATTTATAGCCTTTCTCTATTAATTTCACATAATATTATACTACGTAGCCACAGCACCGTGTTTGTGCACCGTTTTATAAAGGAATAATACATGTTCACATACAAGTTTCATGTAGCTGCATTTCTCGTGTATCCTGTAGTTCCACTGACCTGATGGTTGCTGGTCATCACTCAGATCTTCAAATTAGTGACACCTCAGCATTCATTTGTTTACAGGTGTCTTGCTACACAGAGGACGTTGGCTGACCAAATATGGCATCTTACTTTGATGAACATGACTGCGAGCCCACTAACCCTGAAGAACAGTATCGGCAGAATGCTCTTCTTGAACTGGCCAGGTGACACCCAACACGCCTGAGACACTATGTAAAGCTTTTCTTTGGTTCACAGTGTAGAGCTCTAAATGACTGTTGGTCTTTGTGTACAGGTCTTTAATGCAGGGCTTGGACCTGATTGACTCAGCAGCGTTCGACTTATCTGACTGGGACCAGCGGCTTCCTCCTCCGGCTGCTAAAACTGCTGTTCAGACGCTCACGGTGGTCATCATTTCTCCAGAACAAGCAGGTGACAGACATTTGCTTGAGTACAGCTAAATGTCTTTACATTTGGACTTGGGCACTGAGCACATGAGCGTGAATATAAGGCATGCTGATGCTTGCTGAACGTGTATGTAGTTTGCAAATATTTCTTGAATTAATAACTTTGAAGGAGAGTTATTGTGGATTGTTTTGTTCTACAGACAAAGGTCTAAAGTGTCCTGTGTGTTTGCTGGAGTTTGAGGAACAGGAGACGGTTCGAGAAATGCCTTGCAAACACCTTTTTCACTCAGGATGTATACTCCCCTGGTTGGGCAAGGTGAAGCTCACAAATGTGTCGTTATCTACCAATAATGAAAACAAGTTTGAGATATCCTCGGAAATCCTTTTTATTCTTTTTGATGTTTGAATCACAGACAAACTCCTGCCCGCTGTGCCGACTTGAATTACCGACTGACAATCCAGAATATGAGGAGTTTAAAAAGGACAAGGTGAGTGTATGAACATCCTTTAGGTGGTGTCGGTGATCCTCATTTTCTAACGGTGCTTTCAGTGTGCCTCTATTGATTTTTATACATTTTTTTTTTCTAGGAGAGAAGAAAACAGAGGGAGCACCGGCTGGAGGACCTACATGGAGCCATGTACACATGACACAACAGTGCTGTGGTGCAAGTTTGCTGCACACTGACAATGTAGTGGGGAAAAAAAAACAGGTTCAAAAAATGCATAAAGCTGCCTTCACGCCATTTCCTATAGATTGTAATTACAAACATAGGGATGGGAATGAGTCAGAGCTATTGGGAATGCGTGACATCTATAGTGTCTCCCAGCTGACAAAAAGAACTACACAACAACAAGGAAATTGTTGGCAAACCAGCTGCTAGCCAACATGACTGACAGCGCCACTTAAAAACAAACCAATATTACAAATATGTAACTGTCAAAAAAAAAAAAAAATAGACCTATTTTATTTTTATCTGATGCGACTTCATTGCTAGAAATAGGAATAACTATCTTGGAATAATGTATGATGACTCCAGCTGGAGTAACGGGGATTTCCTGTTCACCTGATATGGTGTGAATGCAGCTTAAACAGCAGGGTCACTTATCATTTAAAATGCCCTTTTTGCAAGAATGAATATATTTTAAGATCCTGTTGACACTTAGCATTCTGAAATCTATCAGCTCAGTCTCTTTATTCCATTTATATAAATTAATGAGCTTTAAATGCACAAAACCATCTGTTCAGTTGTATTTGTCCAATTCATATAAAATATTTATGAAAATATATAGATTTTTCAGTGATCTTTTCTGTTAGTTCTCCACCTACAAGTGATCACTATGCTGACTGTGCAGCATCACGCAGAAGCCAAACCCAAAAAAGTTACTGCTCACACCTGTTGCATCTGCATAACTGTGCTGTGCTCCGTTTGTGCGTAACAGGCTCTAAACTTTATGATAGCAACTTCTATGAAATTGTTTTCCCACTATTTTAAAACCACTCCAGCAGTCAAATGTAGGGCCCCACACTGAATACTAGCTATCTATTAAAAATACTTCAAAGAAGAAGAAAGTCAGAATAAGTAAAGACTTTTGGTCATCCTCCATTTCCCATTATGCATTTGTATGTCAGCTCCTCCCTGCCTGGTAAACATCCCACATCTTTCAAACCCCATATTCCCACTGGAACACTGGTTTTCTGTATGCTTGCAGCTTTTTTCAGACTTGACAAAGCTCCTCCAGAACCACAGAAGACATTACACAACAGTTTTCCCTGTGTGGGCAGCTCATGCTAAATAAGTCGACCTTTAGGGTGTCTCATGATGTTGCTTTGATGTTTAAGAAAGCATCGGCCCTCCTCTGACCGAGACAAAGGAATCATTAGTAACATGGCCAGTAAGGTCTGAATTGATTTTGATGGTTCTTCGTCACACGGTAATATTGTTTTAATTGAATTACACCATGTCCACACCACAGTAACAATCTGGGAAAAACCCCTCAGCTGTTTGTCAACACACAGAGTTGGACTTTAAACAATGAGCATGTGTGCAATTTTACAACTTTAACCTCATGTGCTCCGTTGAAAGTTTGTGCTTGAAAATAAATAGGGTTTGTCTTTAAAAAAAACATATATATACATAAGAAGTCCCCTGTAAAGAACAGTACTAATGCTATTCCACAGTACTGTATACCATGATTAGAATGCTGCCCAACTCCTTGGTCTTTCAAATAACGACTTAGTGTGTATTTTGCTGTTTACAAAAAAAAGAATCACCTCAATTTTCAGTGTTTAAAGAACAGCCCACGAAAACCATCTAATAATTTATCATTTTTATTTCATATTTGAATATAAATCTCTGTCAAATGAAAATACCTAAATGATAGACAAATCATACATATTTACAGAATTTATAAAAGGAAACAAAATAATTGGTGTCGACTTGTTTTCAGGAATTTCTCGGACTCCTCCGTTAGCATTCTTTTACATATTTTTCAGATTCAAAGGAAATAGGACCAGTACAGTTTATAGACATTTGTTTCTGTGTTGCTAGAGTTCAAGACATGTACAGGTCAGGCAGCCTTTTGTCATACAGGGTTCTCCCACAAACAAACAAACAAACCATTTGACAGTTTACTGAAGTGCACATTTTGACAAAAGAAAAAACAAAACACGGTTAGAAAATCCATCTTTGTATTGAATATTTGGCCTGTTGAAGATAGTGTTATGGTATAGATGCTGTTTCTGAATAAACCTAACCCTGATGTGAGGGCTCATACAAGCTGCCATTTGGAGTCACACCTTGTGACCTGGTTACAGTATGGTGAAACAGGCTACAGCTGAACTCAGGATTTAAAACAAAAAAACGATCTGAACAATGTTCCCCTGGCACAGTACGAGGGATAAGGCTAAAACAATACACTCATACCGATTCATACACCTACTGCTGACACCCAGTAAAACCAATCAGTGGATTCCAGTCTTTTTTGGCAATATTTGCAGAAAAAAAAAAACAATATAGCTGCAGTCCCAGAAACAATGAGGAGTTTAGTCATTTGCACAGAAAATAAAGAAAACTGACACGTGATTAATGCATCTTGTGTAACAGCACGTCCACTGCCCTGCCAAATGCTGACGCTTGTAAAGACGTGGACTGGGCAGTGGACTGCTGATCCCTCGTCACGTTAAATAGAACCTCAAACCACTGAGATGGACAACATTTTGGAACTGTAGTTTTCACCTTTAAACAACATCAAACCCACAAAAAGATAAAAGAGGTAGGTGATGTGACCTTTTTAAAAAAATGTGTATTGCTGGCATCCAGTGTTTTAGACAGGTTAAAATATATCAACACTATGCAGAGGGCAGAATACTGTGCGTATGTGTGCGTTATGAAACATACCTCACTCATTAAACAAAAGGCTTAATCTGAACCTAAATTGGGTGGCATTAGTCAGCTGCAGTTTGTGGGTTTGTGGCAGTCTGGAGAGAAAATGGCAACAAGAAATCATACCTCAATAAATGAGTCACTTTTACATCAGTTTACAACCTGCACGGTATTGTCTGGTTGCAGCACTGTTTTGACACCACTGTGAGATCTACAGGCATCATATTCACCTCTCCTGTGAACAAAAGTACTGAGAAGGCTTCACACCTTTTGATACTTAACAGAAAAGCTAAACTCAAATAAGGCTTCCAAGGGTCCAGCCTGGAATCAAACCAGTGTGTGAACAACTATGTTATTCTGAAAATGTGTTAGTCGAATTAGTCTTACCTTCACACACACACTTCTTTTTTTTCTTTTTCCCCAACAATAGGTCACTTCAAATGTTTTGAAACAAAAAGAGCCCTGTGTTCAACTCCAACACACTGAAAAAGGCATTGTTCACTCCAGTGGAGTGTAAATTATCAGACGATTGATGGCAATTATTGCATTTGACATGACATCAGCAAAATAAAAAGGTAGCATGAAATGTAAATGTACAAATAAATCATCTGACCATGCAACATGTGGGACAGTAACAGGACAGCGAGGGAGATGACTTGATTCTTAGCTAAAAGTGATTGCGTCAGAGGAGACCATCTGTTTTGTGTTTTTTGAATATGAATTATGATCTCAAAAATGACAGTGGCTCAAGATACACGTATACATATTTTGTAAAATAATTAAAAAATACCATCAGCATTTGCATTCAAATGATCAGTGCAAACAAATAAAACTGTCGGGCGAAATTCATGATTTTTGTCGGTAATTTCTACGTAATTTATGCTTGATTGAACGAAGACTGTATGCTTTCAGTCTGTAAAACGCACAAAACTATTCACCTCTCAAACATTCAGTGTTTTCTACACACTACGCAAACTCAAAAAATCCAACATAAACTGTTCTTTCATTCAAAAAGTGTGCCGTGCAGAGAAAAGCAAAAGGCCAAAAACAGGTGGGCCGAGCAAAGCAGTGGGTGGGAGAGTCTGGGGAGGAGAAAAACTTTGTGGGTTTAAGTAACTCTTTCCACACAGACACCAGTAGTGCAGAGTTCTTTTGGAAAACACTCTTATGCAGAACTGCCTGGATCAACAGCCATCTTGGAAAACATTCATGGTGGCTCCACAAATTCGACCCTCTTTTCAACATTGCTACTGAAAATGTAACTGGAGTAGCTTGCACTGATGTTGGGAATTAAAAAAGAGTGTTACAGATGGAATTACCTGGTGTTGGTTCAAAAGTTACAGATATCACAATTCACTCTCTTCCTCCACATGCCGCCATCCTGCCTTCCTGTGGGAGCCCATGAAGCACCTCTGCAGTGACATTTCAGACCTTTGGGCCGCGATGCAGAGCTACAACATGGCTATGCTCTCTGGGGTACAATTGAGATGTGTGGATGTGCTGCTTCCCCCGGGGGACTTGAGGCCCTTAGTTGCCCCGCCTAGCGTCGAGCCCCGGGCCCTGGGGCCCATGATAACCCCTGAGCCGTGGTGGTGGCTCTGCTGCAGGCCTGCCATCATGGTCTCACTGGTGACGGTGCCGAACTCGTAGGTGAAGGTGCCATAAAAGACCAGGATGTCTACGGTGAAGACCCACTCGCAGATGGCTGCAGCGTGCTGCAGGATGAAGCTCTCGTGGATGAAGAAGATGCCGCCTGGAAGGAGGAAGAGTTAAGGAGGACAAACACGTCTGGTCGGTCCAAACAAAGACAAACACAACGATTCCTCGACTTCACTAAATGTACAGTGGCACTGGAGAGAATAAATAATGTCCTGAACACTGAAAAATTTGATAAATACCAGCCAGTGATTGCAGCGCGGTCACCCAGCATAGGCTGCTGTAATGTATCAGATAATTAACATGAAGCTCAATGGTTAATATCCCTGATGACAAGGAGAGAAGGAGACATAGGCAGAAATGAAGAATGACAGTGAATGAGTAGGTGGAGGAAAAACAGTCACCCCTAAAATGTTTCCTAATTGGAAAACATTAGGAAGTGTTAAGAAACTGTCACTAGGAAGCAGTAAGGGAAGCCTTCAACTGAGGAGATGAAAAGGAGCCCAGACAGATGCGACTGTGGCTTTGAAACAGTCAGACACCAAACCTCGGCATCAAATTCTGTAATTTTAAAACTTAACACATGCACAAGAAAGTAGCTTCTGATATAAAGCAACTGGATAGAAGCAGAACATTCATTCTGGTAAACCTTACAAGAGTTAAACACACATGTATTAAACTAGTACAGGAAGGATACTGAGGACCAGGGAGACCATGGCTCCCAGTGCCAGAGCCACCCGGAAATGGGCCATCCAGTAGTCAAGGGCAGTCACAGCCACCCGGTAGGTGAGCACACACTGCAGGCACACAAACAGCAACCCTGCTGGAAACGCAACACCGGCACCCACATAGTGAAGAGATTTGGCGTGATCCACCTGTCACACAGAAACACACAGGACAGCTGTTGGCTCTGCTGAGGGGCAGAAGAGTTTCATAACTCACTGACAGGAAAAGTAGATTTCTAGTGTATGTTCACCTGGAAGTTTCCCACCATGACCAGACCGATGGCATTGGTGCAGCCGGACACCAGAGCGCTGGTGTTGACCCAACATCGGTGGCTGTGTTCAATCACCTGTGCGTAGCGCAGAAGGCACACCATCACCACTGTGGGACACAGGAGATACCATACCACACTTCAGCTGCCATCACACAACAGAACTGCAGAAGACTTTCAATTTTAAGTTTCAAGTAAAAATAAAAAACAAATGGACATTTTCTTTGTTCCCCCAACAGCAAAATCTGAAAGTGAGATGAGCTGTCAGGGCTCCAGACTTTGACCAAAATGGTTGTATTTGCTATTTTTGAGAGTGTGTCTGCTAAAATTTCAAGTGGTCACATTGGTGCGAGTGAACGATGATCATTAAGCTGTGTTAGTGTCACTGTAACTGACACAGGCAGCTACTGTGTTAACCACAGTGGTGGGAAGCAGTACTTTTACAACTTCGGTGTTCTGTCATATTTGCATATTTACGGAGCGCACCTACATGCAGTTTTTCTGCTCATAGAAAAGGCCACATATTGGTTTCATCTTGGACACATCTGACATTAGAACACCCTAGTTCACTCTTTTTAATGTAATTTTTGGTCACACACCTGTCTGAGCCCACCACAGATACCAACAGCAGCTACCGCAGTCAGCAATGTGGGCCGTTTAGGGAAGTTCGGTAAATTATAGAGTCTATCAGTAAGAACATGTTCAGCAAGTCATATATTTTGCCTGTGACATGGTGGGAGGTGCAACCAAATGAGAAAGTTGGTCGCACCAGTGCTACCAGTGAAAAAGTTAGTCTGGAGCCCTGGCTGTACACATTTGTTGTGATCATATCGCACAATTACTGAAAAATCCTGCTCTCCCTTGGTTACAGTTTAGGACTGTGGTTTCACTCATTCTGCTGATGTGGATTTGTTTTACTGCTGTCCCAGACAGGATGTCAACTATTGACATCTCTGGTTACATAAGGGCAATTTTCTTAGCATCACTGTTTGAGAACAATAAACCAGTTTATCGCTGTCTGTTACAAAACATACTACCAAGACAGTAAAACATTAAAAAAAAAAAACGCTGAACATTACAAGCCTCCAACAGAACAGAAGTCAAAGGATTGAACAGAAATATTCAGACAGCTTCTACATCAGTGAGAGAGAGAAGAGAGAAGGGAGGTGAGAAAAGAAGGGACGGCAGAGATAAAGTCTCTAGAAATACAAATGCTAGGAAGCAAAATCTGGGATATAAAATGGAAATACATCAGAGACAAAAAGGTGTTGTGAATAATGACGTGATAGTGAGAACAGCAGGGGAGAAGCAATTAAAGGCAGAGGGGGGAAATTGGGGCAGAAGTGAGAGGTGATAAAACAAGACAGCAGGAGGAGGAGTAATGGAGGAAGGCCACGGAGGGTACATGCAGGGGAAAGGACAGATGGGGGAAGTGGAAGGAAAGCTGCATTCATTATTGATTAGAGAGCACAGGCTATTTCAAGCCCCTCTATGACTCTTGGAGGCTACTGGCTGGCGTCTGTGGGCACCACTGAGGATTAAGTGGAGACAGACATTAAACACTTTTCACCTCAGTTATATTGCCTAATTGTGTCGGTGTTAAAGAGCCGAAGGCAGCAGTCATTTATCACTGAACTGTGGGCTGCAGCTCTAAGAAGATGTTCAACCAATTTTTCTTTGATTGTAAACAATTAGTATTCCACAATTAATCTTTTACAGGGCATCATCCCATATTTGCATATTTGTGGAAAAAAAAGCATTTTTACACTACACTACATAATGCTATAAACACAAATTATAATTAAATAATGCTAATTTTTAAGACAATTTTTTACATTACCAAAGTGATTATTCACAGGAAAATGATTTATGAAGGAAATTTTGGAAAGACAATTGCTTTGCTAGTAAGAAAAGATCCAATATCCTTTTTGTTTTTAGTTATGCCCAAAATGATCCATATCCACGTCAAACTGTGATTTATAATGACTTTTTTTATTCAAGCTGTAGTTTTTTTTCTGCCTAGAAATGACATATAAAGTGACACTGTGCAATTTGAACTATTTCTGTTTTTGTTTTCTTTCTGGCATTTTTATGAAAGCTGCCATGTCCAAAATTATTCATACCTCATGAAGTATGTGCAGATTTTTGAGAAAATTCTGCTTCTTTGCGACTCCAAGTGGTCCTGATAGTTTCTATAATGTTCAGGAGGATTCAGATACACGACAAACTACCAGCAGCTGATGCAGTGGTTCTCTTGTCAGTTTCTATCCATCCATCAATCTGTTTTCTTCTGCTTAATGGGAGACAGATCACAAAGGCAGCAGGTTCAGTCCAGACGCAGCCACACTTTCCAGTTCCTCCTGGGGGATCCCAAGGCGATCCCAGGCCAGGTGAGATATGTAATCCCTCCAGGACGTTCTGGGTCTACCTGGGGTCTCTTCCCAGTTGGATGTGTCTGGAAAACTTCCAAAGGAACGCATCCAGAAAGCATCCTTAACAGATGCTTGAACCACCGAAACTGCCTCCTTTTAACATGAAGAAGCAGCAACTCTCCTCGTCTTCTGGCTGAGCTCTGTCTTCACAAAGACGTCCGGTACAACGTCCACATTACTCTCATTGGCATCTCTAACATTGTCTCACAGTTCTTGGTCTCTTGTTTATGAAATTACCGGTGAGAATAAATCTACTGGTCAAACAAAAATTTTCTTTAAATCTAAATTTGGCCTGGGCTTGCATAATTTTTGGCGTCAATGTATTCCTTCAGGTTAAATATGATGCTAGAACTTGCAGGTGGTCATCTTAGTTTAACATAAAGACTAGAAACAGGGGGAAATGGCTAAAAATGATTGTGTTCAAAATTTAAAAATCTGCCCACCAGCAGCTCTAAAGCTCACGCAACTCTTGCTACCTTGTTTTTTTTTTTTTTTTTTTTAAATCTGTTTCAAAAAAGAAGTGTTAAAATGACAACTTGTTTACGTTACTTTGTGAGCTAGGACTGTTTCTCTGTAGTGCAGTAACTTCCTAGAGTCTTCACTGGTTGTCTGGAAACCTTGCAGACACGCCAAGCCTCTGGGAGGTAGCTGCACCAGCCAAGAAATGGCACACAACCCCTGTAAAACCACATTATAACTTATTAATGAACTTTAGAAGTGTTGGTAGGCAGATTCTGTCTAAAACTCTGGACAGAGCCAGGCAAGCTGTTTCTAGTCTTCATGCTAAGCTAAGCTAAGCTAAGCTAACTGTCTTCTACTGATTGATATTTGACATGAAAGTGTTGTAAATTTTTCCAAAGTATTTCCTTTAAGGAAGTACTCTTGTGCTCACTGGGTGCTTTAATCAGCAAGGCTCAGTGTGTATGTATTTATGTATGTATGCAGGTCAGCTCAGACGAAGCTTTACCCATGAAGGCCCCGACGTTGCCGATCAGGCTGAACAGGCAGCTTTCAGGAGGGTAGGAGCCACATTTACTGTGAAGCATGAAGACAAAACAGGTTTCAAAATTACAGACAAGAGAATAATTTGTAACCAAATACATGTTTATCACTGCGTTCAGACTATACTTAGTTTTCCACTGTTTATGACTGTGTGGATTTCTACAAAGACAGACTGCTCCTTCACATCTAGATTGCGCCAATAAGGTGGCAACAATGCCAGATGTCAGAGTTACCCTTCCTGGTTTAAAAATGTAAAAGCATGTAAGAGTGACTGTTTCGGACATAAATCTGAAATTTAGATAAGGAAACGCAGACATATACGCAGTAAAAAAGCCTCAGAGTCTCTTGACGCTTTTTACAAGAGTGCTTTTGTACTTGTCCATGGTTAGAGGCGTATCTGCAGATTAAACAAATGCAATTTATGCAAAGCGTGGGTTAATGACTGTCACAGAGCCACAACATAACAAGGTGCTAATTCATGCCTCAGGGCTTTCGCTGACACAAAATAGCTTTTGTCTTCTGCAGAAACAAAAGATATGAAGTGTAGCAAGGAGGAGAGGTGCAACAGCAGACCTGATGAGGGGGATGTCCTGGACGGTACAGCATGTCTTGGGGAAGCCTGGTCGAGGCAGCTCCTCTGTGCATGTTACATTGTAAGACCTGCGGGAGCGACACAATAAGCTCACTTCATTCTCTGTTTGTAGATGTGGAATCCAAAAATAAAAGCCTGATCTATAAGATTTTTAGGCCCTCTTTAAAAGACCAACAGAAGATAATCACACACCAGTTCTCCACAGGACACACGTGGTGATTCATCACAGCCATGGCATACCTGTAGGGTGAGGAATATGCCATTATTTAAAAGGACGAAATGCCAAACGTGTCATCACTAAGTGTGATTTGATTCATAATGACACAGGCTGAACTATTATCAGGACACCAAATCATATTTTCGCTGCCCACATGATAACATAAATCTGCCCTTGTCACGTACAGCAGCATGTTTAAATATGACGGCACACTTGACCCAAACACGCTGCTACTGTGACTCACACTATCCATATTCCTGTGATGGAGAAGGCAGACAGGCTGACAGGCAGGACGATCCAGGCAGTCATTGGGCTGGCAGTGAGCTGGCTTTGTCCCAAGCATGGGGTGAGTGGGGGGGTCTTTGGGCTGGAGTGGCAACACGACAGGAGGGATCAGGTAGGGGGTGGGTGGGGGGTCACTAACACACAGGGAAACACACAGGGGGGGGGCATGAGAGGACAAAAGGGGGAATGGCACAGCTCTTCTGCTCCACAGGGCCCTGCAACCAGCAGCAACCTGAAAGAAGAATGGGGTCGTTTTATTAAACATGTGAAAAACACCTCAGTCAGGCTGCAGGAATCATATCTGTATGATTAAAAATACGCTCCAGGAGTTACTCTGTCGTAAAGTTGTTATAATCTGCGAGTTCTTTAGTGCGGCTTGCCGTCAGCCCACATTTCACTCACATTTCAACCGGGTCACAGTCAAGACACAATGTGTACTGCAGATGTATTGTTTCTGGGAACATGCTGCCTTGACATACAAAAGCTGACTTCCAAGAACGGAAAGAAACAAAGAAAAACTGTCTCCTGTTAAAAGTTGCATCTAAAGGCACGCCAAAGGCCGCAGCTGACAGCCAGCTGACACGCTGACATGTACGCACTGCATGTTCAAAGCCTGCATGACAGGAAACACCTAGTAAGCACAGTGTGTATGCGCTCCTAAGAACATCACAGAGAAATCAAGAAAACAAACCAGTCACACATTTTTACATAACTGGAAATCTGACTAAACAGTTTTCTCATAAACTGGGCACGAAGCAAAAAAACTGTAGGTGATTGTTGGTGTGTCACAGCTCTCTGTCTTGGAATTCATTTCTTCTCCCTCTATTACTGCTAAACATCAGTGCAAAACGCTGTTTATAGGGAGAGGATCTCACTGTTTACCGCCAATAAAAACACATTCTGCAATGAAATGTCATCTACACCGCTACCCTTTCTCACCTTAACACTGCACACTTTTATTGGTGGCGTTTTCCCCAAATGACATGGACACCGATTACACCAGCTCAGTGAGACAACACGTCTTTAAAAGAACACAACAGCGTAAAATGTACGGTCAGGGCAAAGCGTACCCTTCTGAGAACACGGACTTGAGCCAAGGTCGGCTTTGTGGCGGAGGGAAGCGTGGCACACCGCAAGCTGTATCGTTTTACACCGAGTAAAGTTACGAGCGTGTCCTTGGCTCAGAGGGAAGATACAGTGAACTAAGACAAACTAGTCTTAAATCCACACAAGAAGGAGCTCTTGTTTCCTTACAAAGAACTGTTAAAAATGACCTATTAGTTTTTAGATAAATGTTCTCTTTATATCAATATCTGCCTTACATGATTATTGTCAGATGCAGGAAACACTGACATCAACTCTGCAGCAAAACAAGTTTTAACTGTGTGCTAAAATTACTGCAACAGTTTTAGATTTATGTCCTGAAGTTTAAAGAGTTTTGTTTTTTAATCAATAATGGTGGTCCGTCACTCTATAGGCCAGCTCATATGACACGAACTTCCTAAGTTGTTTTAAAAGCTTTACCATTTCCTACTAGTATGTGAATGCTAGACAAGCAACACCAGACAAAATGGGAAGTGTCCTACTTCTGCAAAGCCAGAAATCAAAGTGTTGTCATCAACTTCCACATGTACTCTTATATTACCACTCTGTATAAGCAAAAATCCTTTTTTTTTACTTTTTAGTGCTGCAATGTTTAGTTCTCTGCTTCCAGCTTCTGAAATGTGTATATTTGGGTTTTGGACTGTTGATGGGACAAAACAAAAAATCCATAGACATCACCTTGGGTTTTGGAAATTAGTAATGAGCATATTTCTTACTTTTTACTGACACTTTTTAGGCCAGAGAGTCTAACTTATATTGAAAGGAATAGCTAGCTGCAGCTGTGAATTTGTTTTTATATAAAGGGTACAAATAAGAGTCTTAACAAGATTTTGGGCCACAATGTTCCATCAAAACAGTTCATCTTTGCCTTTGCAAGTCTCTGAACTGCACTGGAGGGATGAACACTGTTCTCCAACAGGTACTCTCTCATTTGGTATTTTGATTAAGGTGGTGATTGTGATAAAGCTACAACATTGGTCCAAAAGGTGTTCAGTTGGGTTACAATTGATGACTGAAGGTCATAGCTTATGATTCACATCATTTTAATAATCATCAAACCATTCAATGATCCCTCGCACTGGTGGGCCATGTTATGGCTTTCCAAAACGTTGTGTGTGTTCTGACCAGAAGACCATGATCTAGAGAACCTTGTTCAGGGTCATTTTCAGGAGAGAGAAACGTTGATTCACAGTATAAATACCCTTAATCTGAATATTTAAACAACAGGAGATTTAAAAGAGCCGATTAGGGGACCATTCTTGTAAACATTCACACCACCTCTCTCATGCCCCGAGCTCTTGAATGAAAAGTCACCCACTGTCATTGTGGAAGAAATCACTCCCATCAGGACAGTTTCATGATATCATGAAGGTGATCACTCAGAACTTTGTATTGATTCAAGTGCAACCAAACCATGGCAGCAAAATGTCCCCCACAGCATAACAGAGCCACCAGGTCACCTCACTGTAGGGGTCAAGGGTTCAGGTTTTCCTTTAATTTGTCAGCCGTCTGTTTGTGCCTGCAGGCCACTGGAAAATGACTGTCAGTGATACAGTGACATTATAACATAGACTCTCCCACAGTTTAGAGTGAGACCTCCCACAGACTGTTAGTGTGCTTCTGGTTGAAACCCAGTTTGGCATTTTTCACTGTAACTGTAGCAGTGGAAACTCATCAACATGTTTATGCAGTCTCCGCTCTTTACACTTTGATTGATGGAAACTGATTAAAACTATGTTTATTTCTATTTCTGTCAACTTCACCATCCACTATTGTGTCACATGATATCAGGAGTACAGGCTGGTTTTTAAGTTAAGAGTTTGGATAAGTTTTTTTTTTTTTTTTTTACCAGCAGAATGTCCATTATTGACATCCCCATATTATTGAGGACAATGACTCATCTGCCCCAATGACCACCCCCATCTGCCACACGAGTTCCTCCATCTGCATTAGCATTATTAAACAGACCTTGAGTCACAGCGAGTATAAAGACAGCGCATTCAGCTGCAGCTCAACAGCTTTTTAAAAATCAGTTTCCTTTGGAGTATGCTGCTAGCCTGACACCTGATCTCTCAATCTTATGTTGTATTCTCCATCCACTTTTCTCTGAAATAAGTAAATACATTTGAGATGATCTTTACAGGTTTCTCTAGCAACCATGGTTTCTTTCAGCCAAAATGAAACATCCTGTGACTTTTACATAATTTAAAAACTCTCTAGCAGTTACAGGGTAATCAGTTTTCTTTTGTCGCTTTGATTTTGGTTCACTATTGATGTGAGAATGTATTAGAAATGAAATCAACATTTATAGGCTGATTCATTCCCTTTGAACTAACTTCTTATGCTCAAAGTGTTCTTTGAGATCATTTCAATACGCGAAAGCATGTTGTTCTCTGGCACTTCACATTCAAGTGCAGCGTTTTCCTCATGTGGTTTGGTGTATATTATAGTTGCTAACTCTTGTGAATGCAAGAAGTCAGCAGTGGAGAGCGTGCAAAAGCTTTTGAAATGCTGTCAAATATAGCACTCTGAGCAAAGGCCAGAATACATGCTGCAAGTTGTTGGTTGTTTTATAGCGTTTACACCAGTTAGTGAAGCTGGCACAGCAAGAAGACGACATAAAGACAACCATAAAAACGTGCAGACTGCAGAACAACAAAAGCCATTGTGACACTGTGTTGCAGCAGGAAACAGAGGTTGAGGGTGAATTATTCTTTGATGCTTCCCCCAAAGGTTCACCGAAGCCAAGCATTTTAAAATGACAGTTATTTAGGATACGATTAGAAATGTCAGAAGAATAAAACATGCATGTTATTAGGGCTGAATGATTTGGAGTGAATATCTAACAGTGATTTTTCTTAAAGCTAAAGTGATTTGCAATATTTTTTTAATGTTACGCTTCAGTTCAAAATTCACTGTGTAATGTTTTTAAAATGTGACGGACATTTATCAAATGAGATGCTATCAAAAGGCTGACTGTCACACAAGAAGGAGAGCGTGAATTTGAAAAACCATTGACACAACAGTTTAAAGACATGTTGCATAACATGACTCCTAAATTGCAGCCTTTGCGATTTGCTAAATGCAATGCTTCAAGTTGTGATTGCGTTTCTAAATTGATTAATTGCTCAGCCTCACATGTCATGCAGGCATTTTTGTACTACTGGTGGCAGGACTTTGACATACGTATAGATTTTTCTAGATAAGGGAGGAATCAATCTAGACCTTACTCACTTTGAGAAAGAAAGATCATCAATCATAATCAATACATCAGTTGTGCTATTTAAATGGCATAAATGTTGTACTTTGTTTGACAATTTCTGATAATTTTTTTCTTTTGAATATCAAAAATTAGAGACTGATAAGTAGGGCTGAATAAGTACTGAAATACTGTCAAAATCGCACAATGGCCCAGTGCTGTATTCAATCATCACAGTG